TCTAAAGGGAAGCTCCATACTAAAATTTACGACAAAACAGACGATTTTTCATTCCCTATTGTTAATTTTCCTTTTTTATACGGCGATGTTCCTTTGGCTCCATCATACGGTGTTTATATATCCCAACTCGTTCGTTATGCCCGTGTGTGTAGTGATGTCATAGATTTTAACGAACGTAATCAATGCATCACTGGTGAATTATTAAGTCAGGGATTTTGTTACCATAAATTACTTAAAACTTTTACTAAATTCTGTCATAGATACAAAGATTTGATTAGTAAATTTGGGTGTACTTGTAGAAAACTTATTAAAAACGGTATTTCACATCCTAAATTTAAAGGTAATATTGTACTAAAAGCGCGGAAAGCACTATGCGATCTGTGTAAACTCATCGAACCTTTAAACAAACTTATTAGTTAAGGTTATCTTGCCAATGTTGTAATAAGATCTTTGAATATAGTTTACATTGGCACAAATATCGATTTTGTCATCAGCAAATTAAAACATAACTAAATTTGTATTCTTTTCAAACGTTTTTTTGGGATGCATAAATACACATCCACGTTCATTTTCGTTATAGAGATTACTCTATCTATATATAACATTATATTAATTAAAAGGTTAACTCCTAACTGTTCTACTGCCTGTTGATACTTTTATTTTGGCATTGCACACGTCATGTCTTCTTTGACTGTCCATGACGTTAAAACACAAAATCCCTGGGATGTGTTTTAGTTGATTTTAGTCTCTGATGCATGATGTTGTATGATTAATTGTTTTTGGCTTTTAACTAACTTTCAGTAACTGCGAGCACTCTCAAATCGTAGTGTTATTTGACCTGTTGATACAATTTGTAATGTATTTTTGTTATTTAATGTTTACTTATTTAGTGTTATAACTCGTCTCACTATTTTTAATATTTACCACCTTTGAAAAGTGTTTAGAATGACGATAAATTTTCACTTCTGTTCTCAAAAAACCCAAATATTTGAATTTACATGAATAATTTCATTTTCACAATTAAACTGGTTTATATTTCTACTTGCGTTTGCAAGACTTATTCATTGCGCTTTAGGGTATGGCACCCGCGTCATAACAATTAAACCTCATAAAATACATAGGAGCAAAACTCATAAGGCTATGTATTGTAAAGTCAAATATTTGGTTTTTTTTGGTAATCACAGGTCAAGGCCAAATGCTTTCGTCAACCACAATACATTGTCTAAAGATTATACACCGGAGTGCAAACTATCAAAATCCTAGACAAGACAAACAAAATATATTACGAAACAGAATTCAAGGTCAACCAAATGTTAGGGTCTAATTAACGTCACGATGATATGTTTCACATAGTATCATGGTATATGTAATACAACTTCATCACAAAACTCATAAGCCAATGTCAAACGATGAAAAAAGGTTGTTTTTTTAGAAGAAAACAAATACAAGAAGACGAATTACTAGAACAACATAATGTCTCCCTTCGTCGAAATATAAAATCTTCTTGTGAGTAAAAAAAACCAGAAGTTACTTGCACAACTAAGCATAGGAATCGTTTGTCTACGCTACAGAAAATAAAATAAAAGTACTATTTTTCTAGATTTCGTTTCGTATCACTTTCGTATATAACTTGCTTTATTGGATTCTCCGATAAACCTCACTATATCCTATTTGGCACATGAGCTTCTTGGCCACAGGAACATGGGACAAGAATCCCCTCATTTCTTTTTTCTTATTTTTTGTGTGAAAGCATTTTTTGTAAATCATCTTGAATATTTTAACTTATTTATTGTGTAATTTTTCTACACGATCTTACAAAAACAGTAGTCTATACGCCCTTCCTTCTATTCTTACCACTAGCATGTCAATACAAAGGTTGTGAGTTCGAATTCTGTAAATTGCATGTGAATTTTAATCAAATTTTAATTGACTTGGATTGTCAGTTTTCCTGTCGAAGGTCCACGGTTCTCTTCAGATACTTTGGCTTCCTCCACCAATCAAAACTGACAGCCACGATATAGCCAATAGTGGCGAAAGTCGCATTAAACACCAACAAAGGAGTAAGTTCGATAAGGGCATACAATGACCCCGATTTCTAGCTAAATATCAAATTATAAGGATTAGTTTAAATATATCACAATAAATAATAGCTTACAAATAGATATAAGAAGATGTGGTATGAGTGCCAATGAGACAACTCTCCATCCAAGTCACAATTTGTAAAAGTAAACCATTATAGGTCAAAGTACGGCCTTCATCACGGAGCCTTGGCTCCAAGCGAACAGCAAGCTATAAAGGGCCCCAAAATGACTAGTGTAAAACCATTTAAACAGGAAAACCAACGGTCTAATCTATATAAAAAACGAGAAACACTTATGAACCACATCAACAAACGACAACCACTGAACATCAGGTTCCTGACTTCGGACAGGTGCAAACAAATGCAGCGGGTTTAAACGTTTTAATAGTCGCCAACCTTCACCCTAACCTGAAACAATAGTGTAAATCACAACATAGAAAGACACACTATAAAATATCAATTGCAATGGCTTAACTCAAACAAAAGACATATTAACAAAAACAAGTGAACATACACTGAACGAATATTTGATCTATGACACAATGTAAATACAAAATTAATAAAACAAGGGGGTTAGCTGTAAAACAATATCAGAAAGACAACCATTATCTTGGACAAAATGCCGCCAAATAAAATCACGTACACAGGTAAATAAAAATAATTTTGTTGTCAGGTATACATGAAGTACGGAAATATTTTTTACAAAATAGACAATTTTGTTGTTCATAGTACGAGAACAGAAGTGAAAATTACCAAAAAAAAAACAAATATTTGACTTTACAATACATAGCCTTATGAGTTTTGCTCCTATGTATTTTATGAGGTTTAATTGTCATGACGCGGGTGCCATACCCTAAAGCGCAATGAATAGGTCTTGCAAACGCAAGTAGAAATATAAACCAGTTTAATTGTGAAAATGAAATTATTCATGTAAATTCAAATATTTGGGTTTTTGGTAATCACAGGTCAAGGCCAAATGCTTTCGTCAACCACATTACATTGTCTAAAGATAATACATCGAAGTGCAAACTATCAAAATCCTAGACAAGACAAACAAAATATATTACGAAAGAGAATTCAAGGTCAACCAAATGTTTTAAAAGGTCTAATTAACGTCACGATGATATGCTTCACATAGTATCATGGTATATGTAATACAACTTCATCACAAAACTCATAAGCCAATGTCAAACAATGAAAAAAGATTGTGTTTTTAGAAGAAAACAAATACAAGAAGACGAATAACTAGAACAACATAGTGTCTTCCTTCGTCGAAATATAAAATCTTCTTGTGAGTAAAAAAAAATGAAGTGACATGCACAACTAAACATAGGAATCGTTTGTCTACGCTATAGAAAATAAATTAAAAGTACTATTTTTCTAGATTTCGTTTCGTATCACTTTCGTATATAACTTGCTTTATTGGATTCTCCGATAAACCTCACTATATCCTATTTGGCACATGAGCTTCTTGGCCACAGGAACATGGGACAAGAATCCCCTCATTTCTTTTTTCTAATTTGTTGTGTGAAAGCATTTTTTGTAAATCATATTGGAAATTTTAACTTATTTATTGTGTAATTTTTTAAACACGATCCTACAAAACAGTAGTCTATACGCGCTTTCCCTCTATTCTTACCACTAGCACGTCAATTCAAAGGTTGTGAGTTCGAATCCTGTAAATTGCAGGTGCAATTGAATCATATTAATTGACTTGGATTATCAGTTTTCCTGTCAAAGGTCCGTGGTTCCCTTCAGACACTTTGGCTCCTTCCACCAATCAAAACTAACAGCCACGATATAGCCAATAGTGGTGAAAGTCGCGTTAAACACCAACAAAGGAGTAAGGTCGATAAGGGCATAAAATGACCCCGATCTCTAGCTAAATTTCAAATTATAAGGATTAATTGAAATATATCACAATGAATAATAGCTTACAAATGACTAGACAGGAAATATTTCTACGTATAAGAAATGTTTAAATCACTGGTGGATAGTTGTCTCATTTGCAATACAAACCACACCTCTTTTTCTTAACATCATTTAAGTCAGACGATAGTTTGAATAATGTGCCAGAGTATTTTACGTTGTTCGTTTGATCTGTTTCCTTGTGATTCATACGATGATCTGCTAATTGACGACTTAAAGTGTCAATTGCAGATTTATTTGGAATTTATCTATTTTACATATAACATATTATCGTCTTGAATATGCATGTAATATTGGTTGATGGACGTTAGTCAACAATTCTTATCATCTTAGATGTCCACCAATAAAAAAGATCCGAAGGCCTTATTAGAGTTTTCTATTTTTTGTATTTTGTTTTAACATATCAAAATCTAAAAACGAGAACAGTTTCGTTTTTTGTTTTTCGTTCTTTGATTGATCAGATCCAAAAACAGAATGAAACAATAAAACATGAATTACCTTGAACTATATGTTTGTGTACAATTTCCTCCATATCTTTTGGGTTGAGAACAAACCTTTACTTTAAAAGGGATGAATTTAGCTTCTCAATTATTATGAAATTTCTTTGTCTATATAGACTCATTCAAACATCGCCTGCATACGGAGTATATATCGCCCATTCGAGACGATTTTTAAGATCTTGCGTTTCCTATCATGTTTCCTGGATAGAGGGTTTTTGCATAGAAGGAAGCAAGTGGTTAAGTTGATGTCAACCTTACAATCAAGAGTTGATAGACCGTTATGGAATATCTTTTTTACAAAAGACCATGTATATGTTCACAATCCCGTCCTTTTTCCACGATTGAAACGAGTTAACATCATCGAATATGACTTGTCACCTAATTTGGCACATACCTTGACTTAGCTTTCAGTAATAAAGATATCAACAAGTTATTATTTTATTCATTTCAAATAAGAACAATTATTTCTGTTTTCAAAGTATCATCCTCTATATCGGTAACTTCCACCGTGATATTTACCGCCATGACCACTGTGCTGTAAATACAAATTCATGTATATTTTAAGTCAGTTGTGTTGTATTTCTGTGATGCATGTTTACACATTTTTGGCTGCTGTATCCAAAGTATTGTCATATTAGCCAATTATGTTTGCTTGGGTTGCTCACCCAATTGTGTCTATATAACTATAAACAACTGGCTTCGCTAGCTATAAAACCAGGTTTAATCCACCATAAATATTTGTTGGTCCTGTTAACAGGAAATTATCTTTAAAACTCGTCATTTTCAACTTATCAGATTTACCCCTAAGATTCATGTTGATATGGAATGGTCAGTGCTATGGGATCTTAAGCAATTCGATTGGATGAGTTCAATATTGATTGACCTTTACTGGTTGTCTTTTCGAAATTTGTCATGGGTGTAACATGTCAGAACTGGAAATGTTATTAGATACCAATAATTTTTAATAACGACAGGGATGGAAATTCTATGTTAGAGTTAATCAAGAAATAATAAAATTACTTTTGTTTGTCGATTAACTATTATAGTCATAATCGTTTTTCTAAAATATAATTTCTGAGTCGTATCATTTTATGTCATTATTCATATTTATCCCAAACAAAACCAGTGAGGAAATGACGCCAAAAACGGTTGATCTGCATATTTGTTTACATAAACATGTCAATTTGAACATTGAAAGGTAGTTTTTATCTTCCTCACAAAATTTAGTCATACACTATAATAATTTCATATAGCATCAGCACCTTTTAAAACATTTTTGTTTTGTTTTTAATAGGAGTTTAAAAACGTCATACTGATGCAGAAACAGATAAATTTATCCGTTCAAGTTCATTATTGTATTATTTGTTTCTCTATTATATATTACTATTGTATTCACGTTGATTGCAGATATGTGTGTGTATCTATTCCAAACCTTTTATTATATTCGGAGCATTAAGAGGCTGACAAACTTTAAACACACTTGAATACCGTGTGACATATATATTTATTGTCTTTTGTCGCTGGATAGCTTTCACATTCGTGGGTATAATTCATAGTATTGAAATTCACAGATTAACAGATGAGAAAGTTGTTATTGACAAAAGCTATTTTTTTTCATATTAACTAAGATAAAGAAAGAATAACATATTTTATCAATATATTTAAAAACCAGTCACCGACAAAAAATTCGTATAATTTTAATTAGAATATAGTAAGCAGGTGTATTCCGTATATGAAAAAAAAAACAGTTATCCTAAATCCTAGAATAGTTTCAACTTACCCCTCCACCAGAATGTCCTCCACTTCCTTTATACCCTTTATATCCTTTCCTATATTTTCCAGAGGCAGCTGTAATTATCATTATATTGAATAAATTATCTATGTTTATCATCAGAGTCGATACATACAATATACGATAGATAACTCATTTGCTTACTGAGTACAATTTCATTTAACACAATCTGTGGGAACATTTTATGGTTTTTTTCAACTATTTCCATAAAAGTCTCGCATGGGATCTTTTCTTGGCTAGGGGGATAGATTTGGTTTGGATTTTTTTTAAATATCTTTATGTTCTGAAAAGAGCATTTTAAAAATAACCTTAGATCAGAAAGAGTTTTGGGGCATTAAAATTATTTAAACCTTTGAAAAATTAGTAAAAATTTATGTACGAAAAATAATTAAAAATTTGCCTTAGTTATGTATAAGTATTGTAATTTTACATTTTCATGTTTAAATTGATATATTCTGAACTTAGATGAACGTTTACATTATATATCTTTATTCCAGCTTTGTATTTATTCACTGAAAATTCGTCAGTTTTGGGACATTGTAGGTATATAGTTTGTATTATTTGCAAAAACCAAAATTTGTTAATTGGACAAAAAGGGGAGAAATATCAAGTGGCAAACAAATACTACAAAGCGTCGATTAAAGATGGATATCACCATGGCTAAAGGAAGGATAAAAGCATAACACATACAGCTTAATTCTAAGCAAATCCCCACCAATGCGACTCGATGAAACATTTGTTTGTGCTGTCGATATAATGTTCCTGACAAGTGGAGACTAGATATAAACAATTTTTAATAATAAATGAAATTAAAACAAAATGAAATGACAATACAAATCGAACCAATATGAAGTCCGGCATTCAATACCATTATTGCTGTTTTTTTCTACTTACCAACTGGCATTGTAACTGATGCCACCATCAACAGAGCAACAAGGACTATGATTCCGAATAACTTCATGTCTGCCTGAAAAGCTTGTCTTTAAACACTTCACTTTGACAATTATATTGAGGCTGACCGATGAGTATGATTCAGGACTAGTATATATATTCAGTGTGATAGAAACAGCTGGTTGGTACATATAAGTTATTACAGGAACTTTATATATTTTTAGCATGTTTAACAACGTTTGTTTAAAATGTCAAAACCCATAGCAATGAAAACTCTTCAATATGTATTGTGCAAGTATTTGCATATAACATGGTTTAAGATGTATGAAGAAGCTATACTTAACTTACGGCGTGTTTTAAATTAATCAATTAATATGTTTATATATAGAAATTGGGTTACCAGAACTTTTACACTTTTCAAGGATTTGTATTTATTTCTAATTTCATTTATTAATTTCATTAATTTTAATTTAAACAACGGCTACTACGTTGGCACACTTTTTTATGTAGACACCATGAGGATGATTGCAATAATATTTTGTGTTAATTAGCCGAATCGTTCCAGAGAAAAATATGTTAAGAAATTATTTTGAATTATCATGGTGGTAAGGAAACCTTAGATCTCATATTGTGTCCATATTGTACAAGTGGCGGGATTGTTGACAATTTTTTCAAAGAAATTCATATTAAGGGCATACGATACAGTTTCGATCCCACGGTGAATTTTTTAAGAAATTTTGCATACAAGCTATTTTTCATCTAGTCAATTTAAATATGTTATAAAATATTTATACCTTCATGTGCTACTTTAAGAAATAAATGGGATCGAATTGTTTTTTTTACATTTACTCAAAATTTCAGTTTCTTGGACGTATCTATCCTCTGGACAAACATACATAACTTTTTTGTTTCAAAAGATAAACAAAAGCGGATTTTTTAAAAAAAGATTTGGAATATCTTCTCTACATAAATATGCTCTAATTTTTTGTATCAATTCTTTGAAAATAATTCATTTTTATTGTTTATGATTTAAGAAAAATAAAACTGCTTTTTTTGCTGTATATTTATCTAATTAAAAAAAAATTCCATCGGTGATTTTTTTCATTAAAATCAGTACAACTAATCTTTATACATAATCAATCCAAATGTCATAGCTAATGACTAAAATCAGTCGAAAAATGCATCTTTTCTCGATATTTCACAGTTTGAGGTCGCGAAAAATAACATTTTACGTTAGCAACGTCATTATCTCCTCTGTAACTGTATTGTATGCCCTTTTAAAGACTATCTCACTGATACGTTAATGAAATTAAATAAGATTCTTTTTTTTATTTTCTAAACGAATTTTTGTTTACTTTTTTTTTCCGATAATCTTTTTTAACTTGCAGTAGTAGAAGCAACATTAGTTGGTCAACAGTGATATTGGTGTACGTGATAACATCTACAGCATTAGTTCTATAAATTTAGAATAGTTCACAGTTGTATGCATTTGATTCCTTGTTTTTGTTTCGTTTCATGTTGCTCAATATTTGGTTTCCTCTTCAGTACTAATTTACTAGTGGTTTCCATCTTTTTGCTCATGGGAAGTACATATCAAATTAAAAGTCGCATTCGGTGATTTCACAATTGAGAAACTTGGACAGATCTGGTTACGATAATTCAATCAAAATGTGTACATCTGTGACACAAAGTTTCAAAAACGGTCAGCCAACTCGTGAACGCGTCTGTAAATTTTTCGAAGAGCTAACTTCACTTTCACTACCTGCAACGCTTTGTTTAATAGTTTCATTGTAAGCAGCAATCTTCTATCAATTTTTTTAAATTGTGTCCTTGTACGTGGCAACCGCTTATAAAATTTGGATACATGTATCAGTCGTATTTCTATTTAAAAATATACAAATAGCGCAAAATAATACAAGCATGCAAAATTTAGAGTGATACAATGTACTAAAATCAAGGGAGATTGACAATCACACTATTACCAAAAGAAAATGAGACGAACACCCAGACAACAGTTCTTAAAGCACTGCAAACAACACTAGTTATTGTCCCACAAGAACAAAACGAAATATCTGGATGACATTGTGTGCTCTGAAATCATAAAATGTTTATCGTGTAATAATAGAAGTTGTTAGTTAAAAGTAAAAATGCGGTAATAAGTCGCATTCAGGATTCTAACAAACGATAATAAGAGTATTAGGTTGTAGCTCATGCAGTGGATCATATATGTTATTATCTGTTACACAGATATTCTATAGAGGTTACCCAAAATCATGATGGCATCTATAAAACAATTATGAAAATAATGTAATTTTATCATAAAGAACCTCAAAAACTAATTCAAATATTTTGAATCTGAAATCGTGTCTATCGTTGGCGCTTTAATTTTATATATTAATGTGAAAACACAGATAAAAATTCGTATAGGTTGGTTTACGTATTCGTATAATTTCAAACATAATTAATATGTAAATCATATTATTACATAAAGGATTATTCATTAAGGACACAACCTGCCATTGATAAAAATAAGGTAAGTCTAGTTAATGTTGTGTGTATACAGTAATCTTCTGTCGTAGCCTCCGTGCACTTCTACAGCTGCTTATATCGATATTGTATAACAATGAGTTGAGATTTTTTTTTTGTCGAAGTGAAGTGTGCACTTAAAAGTAGACAAATACGAAGTTATTCAGTATCCATACTCCGTGTTGCTCTTTTGACTGTGGCTTTAGTTTATATGCCAGTTAATAACAGCGTAAGATTATATATAACTTCGTAAACATTTCTATTGTAAAAATATTAAGATATGATATGCTTGCCAATGAGATACAGTGCAGTTTTCTAGAGAGGAGGAAGATACCAAAGGGATAAGTAACCCATAAGTTGAGAACAAACTGACAATACCATTGTAAAAACACAGAAAATCCCAGACTGAGCAACACGAACCGCGTTTGTCCTGATGGATAAGCAGATCGCGCTTCAGATATGGAACCGATTTTGTTGTTCATATAAGTTCAAACTCGTTGATGAGTCTCACTCCGGGATGTCACATTCCAGGAAAAGAGGAAACTATAATTCTGTTTCAACATTAACCTACCAATCCCATGACCTCGGAAGGGCCATTTTGTAAACCAGAAGTAGCAAATAATCTCCATTATTATCAAGCAAAAGTACATAAAACCTGGGTGTTTTTTAAATCACTAAAATTTAAGTTATCAAGGGACATTGGAAATGACTGTTTTTTCAATTGATATAAGCTAACCATCTCAATTTTTACAAGCGAAATACATAGAAGCCATACAGTTTGGAATAAGTGTAATGTAAGTTATCATATGATATAAAAAAAGAATGATATATGTTTTTCAATGAGACAATTATTTCCTTAGGAACAAATGATGTAGATGTTAGCAACTATGGGTCAGCGTACAGCCCTCAACAATGAGCAGACCTGATAACGCATAGCAAGTTCTAAAAAGCCCCGACAATTCAAATGAGAAAACTAACGTCCATCTGTATATAAAAAACAACAATCTAAAAACGAATATGATATAAAGCAATAAACGACAACCACTGAATTACAGGCTCCTGACTTGGGAGTGATATGACACTGTAAGTGACTAATCAAACGGAAGAAGCAAATTATTTTCCTTTTTCAAGCCAAAGTACATAGAAACCATATAAATTTTGAAGTAAGTTATCATATGGTATCTGAAGTAAATTTAAAAATCAAAAGTATAGCAAATTATCTCCTTTTTCAAATAAAAATATATATTAACCTTAATTCTAGGAATCATTGTGGAGGAACATGTCATTTGACCCTTGAAGAGATTTTTTAATCCGGAAGTAGCTGATTATCTACCTTATTTCATAGAACAGTTCAAAAACTTGATATGTATCTTTTTAATTAGTTTTAGATACGCTTTTCTCCTCATGACTTAAGTGACATTTTTCGCAAATTACTTTTGATCTACAATGTTTTATTAAAAAAAAAAATATATTTTTTTAATATAAAAATAAGAAGATGTGGTATGATTGCCAATGAGACAAATCTCCGCCAGAGACCAAATTACATAGACGTTTACAACTATAGGTCACCGTACGGCCTTCATTAATGAGCAAAGCCCATACCTTATAGTCACTTATAAAAAGCCCCGAAATGACAAATGTATAACAATTCAAACGAGAAAACTAATGGCCTGATTTATGTACAAAACAATGAACGAAAAACAAATATGATATAAAGAAACAAACGCCAACTACTGAATTACAGGCTCCTGACTTGGGACAGACACAAACATAATGTGGCAGGGTTAAACTGGTTTGTTGGCGCCAAACCCTGCCCCTTACCTGGGACAGTGGTGTAACAGTACAATATAAGAACAAACTATAAAAATCAGTTGAAAAGAATTTTACTCAACAAATCGATACAGAGCAGAAAAAATCATCTAACAAAAACACAGACCAGACGTGGCAGGGTATTTACACATCCCCATAACAGCAAAAAAACACTAAGTACAGATCTGAGAGTACTCGTAGTTACTGACAGCTAGTTCAAAGCCAATAACAACTAATGAAAAAAAATCACACATCTAAGACAAAAATATCAATCAGTACACATCCAACATCCAATGGATTATTTAGTAAAGGTTTTAGGTAGATTGTGGTACCAAAATCACTGACTAAATAATTTACCAGTAATACATAGATTACGTTAATTGGTATCCAAAACGTCACAACAAACACGGGCATAGCGAACGATTTGTGATATATAAACACCGTATGCTGGTGCCAAAGGAACATCACCGTCCAAAAAAGGGAATTTAACAATAAGGAACGAAAAATCGTCCATTTTGTCGTAATTTTTTGTGAAGAGTTTCCTGTGTAAAACTGAAATATCTAAATCAAGGAAAGGACTGTTATTTTTGTTTATATTTGATCTATTTAAAGTAAGTTCCTTTGGGTAAATTTCGGCAGTAAATTTAGAAAATTCTTGATTATTTAACAAATAATTATCATCTAGATAACGGTAAGTGTTGTTGAATTTCTCAATTAAATGCAATTTAGACGGGTCTTTACTGAGTTTGGTCATAAACTGTGATTCATAACAGTACAAGAACAAGTCT